AAGCACCCTGCTTCTTGGAAGGCCTCGGCCTTGCGTCTATCGAGAAGGCCCGCGCCTTCTAGGGAGCAGGGGTGCTTCTAAGAAGCCGTCCCCCATCCCCCTCCCCCCTCTGCGCGTTGCCGACTTTCACTGCCCCCCCCCCCCTTCCTTGAGCAGGGACCGGCCGTCTCGGCATGCCTATAGGCCTATCACGACATGCTCTTGGAACCCACGAACGCTCTGAGAACCCAAACAACTATCTTTGGAACATGAGCCCGATGTACTAAAACAAAACAGGATCGGCCAGAAATTGTCTAAGAACATGTCGTAGAAACCACACAAGGTTCTTAGAACATTGTCTGGTGGGCCTGTAGGAACGCCAGGACGCTTCGCCACTGCTGGACTTCCTCAGTGGGAGAAACAGAGTCCATAACCACAAACTGTTAGCGCTCCCCGCGGATCTCTTGGATCTGCGCTGGGCCCCCCTCCCCAGCGCGCGGGGCGCGCCCCAGCGCGCGGGGCGCGCCCGGGGCGGCGCCAGAGGCGCCGCCAGGGGGGCCCAGCGCGGATCAAAGAAATCCGCGCGGAGCGCCAAGAGTTTGTGTTTGTGACGTTTTTTCTTCTTCGATTCCTCAGGAAGCAAAAGAAGACGAGGGTCGGAGAAAAAAACAGGGCTACAGGACTGGCGACGCGCCAAAAGGGGGCAGAGGAAGGTTTCTTGGATGGAAGCTGCTTCTTATAGAAGGCGCCCGTCCTACATCCACAAACCAGGCGCGCGCCTTCTACGAAGCAGGGGTGTTTCGAAGAAACCTTCCCCCCTTCCCCTACAATTATGTTGCTCCCATCGTACTTAAGGACCACATCCCCAAAATAATTTCGAGCACCCGGAAAAGTGTCGAAAGAGTGTCGAAAGAGTGTCGAAAGAGTGTCGAGACAGTGTCGGACGAGTGTCTCCGAGGGCCCGACACGTCAAAATCCTCGAGTTTCGGTACTGTTCTGGAGCCCGAAAGTCTTTCTGGTGATCAGAAAGAGCGTGTTCTACCGCTGCTGGCGGAAAACCGGGGGTCACTACCGGTTCGAACCCCTCCCCCCCCCCCTCCGGAAAACCGGGGGGGGTCACTACCGCCCAGTGCTTCCGTCTTGATAAGAAATTAGCGTTGGCGTTAAAACCCCCGACACTAGTTACGATAGTGCTTCCAATGTTAAAACCTTATCATTTAACATGCATACATATATTTAACATGCATACATATATATTTAACATATATATACATTAACGCGCAAGAATTCAGGAGCAGCTTAGGCGCAATCTTGGGCTCATCGACGTCGGCCTGCAGCAGCAGGGAGCGAACCAGCAACGCCAAGATGAACACCAGCAGCAGCAGTAGGACCAACAATGGCGAGCAGCAACAGCAAGATGAACACCAGCAGCAGCAGGAGGACCACAATGCCCAACACAGCGAGCAGCAACAGCAAGATGAACATCAGCAGCAGCCAGGGGGGCCAAGATGACCAGCGCAGGGCCGAGCCTCCGCAACAGCGCCGTCGCCTTGGCGGTGCTTTCACGTTCGGGGATCTTGTCAGGGAACAACATCAGGGATTATCCAGGAGGAAGCCGACCAGTGAGAGCGCAAAGCAAACCATCGCATCGCAGCGCCAGCAACAGCTCTCGACAGCAGCGATCACGCATCGCAGCGCCAGCAACAGCTCTCGACAGCAGCGATCTCAGAGGATGAAGGCGAAACGTGATGATAACGATGAAGGAAGACGAGAGGAAGAGGAGGAGAGGGGATGAGGAGGTGGAGGAGGAGAAAGAGGAAGTAGGAGTGAGCAGAGAAAGTCTCGATAAGAGGCACCGCTGTCGTAAGAGGATCGAGGAACAAGGAGGATGAGAAAGCGGCACCGTCCAGTCGGTCTGCGTCGGTGGCCTCGCAGGCAGGGGGGGGGGGCTTTCATCCCGATGCCGCCTCGCGTGCTATCCACGCCCCCCCATACGAAATCCGAGTTCCGACCCCTCCACTCATTTTGGATAGCCGTTTTGGCTCAAGCATGTCTTGAAATGCGGTCGCTAGACGACCTTAAAGTGTGTGGTTTCAGCGTGAGTGATGCGGTTCGGCACGATGTAGCGCGCCGACATGATCTGGTGGAGCTCGCTGGGCCAAGCTTCAGCGATGTGCCGCGTACCGCGGCTGAGTACGCCTTCAGCACGAGGACAACCGACTTCGATTTCTCATGTCCTCTCGGTTTCGGTCGCGCGTTGGGCATTGTGAATGGCATCAAGGTCAACGGCGTGCTGTGGATCTCTGAAGTGAACCTCGGGAGCTTTACCGAACGCTCCGCCAGATGTCGCGTTTCTGGCTCAGAAGCGTGGATCCCGCCGCCTCGAGTTGAGGGCAATGCGGCTGATCCTGAGGTTCGTTCGAAGAACGAGATGATGCGACGAATCATCTTCCTGTCTGTGGTTGCACTTCGTCGTGGAGTTCATGTGATTGCTGTTCAGCCGCGCAAGAAGAGCGTCTTCTACGTGTGGCCGCTGTGGCAGGCCTTCGTTAGGATGCACTCGCTGTACGCGTGCGATTTGGAGACCAAGGAACGCCAGTACAAATCAGGAGGAGGAGGAGGAGGAGGAGGAGAAGTAAGAGGAGAAGGGATGAGCTGAGGAGAAAGAGGAGGGAACTGAGGAGAAGGAGGAGCGAGAGCTGAGGAGGAAGAGGAGACAGGGTGGGGGGAGATCCTGGCTCCCTGGTTTCTTGATTTTGTCTGGATTTATTCGGGATTCTGTTTTTTTTTTTTTTTTTTCTGGATTTTTTCTGGATTCTGGATTGTTTCTGGATTTTTTCTGGATTCTGGATTTTTTTTTTCTGGATGCTGATCTCCTGGAGTCTTCCTGGATGTTTTTGAGTTCTGGCTGTCTGAGCGTAAGGACGGCGCCGTGCACCGCATCATGGGCTCTCCTTGGTGGTCTGCGCTGGCCCCAGTGGACGAGAGCACCAATTCGTTCCCAGCTCGGCGGGCGCGGGCCAAAACTGGGGAGGAGCATGAGGATTGAGAGCGGAGATAACCTTAGGATGACGAGAGGAAAGAGGAAGGCCGGGTGGGAGGCGACCCCTGTCGTTTCGTCGAGGTCGAGGCGCTGGAGTTGTCGCCTGTCGGTGAGGGCCTCCTCCTCCTCCTCATCCTCCTCCTTCTCCTCCTCATCCTCCTCCTCATCCTCCGCCTCCTCCTCATCTTCCTCATCCTCATCCTCTTCCTCCTGGCAGAATCCGCCCCGACGTTATAGTCGCCTAAGAGGTGTGCTGATCGGCTCATGGAGATCATTAATGTGTGCCGCAATGAGGGGATCCCAGAGTTCTCGCCGATACCAGCGTGGATGGTCAACACGGAGAAGCAGCTCAGGCTTGGCAGCATGTGGCTCAAAGAAGGCATCGGCAAGCCGAAGCAGGAGATCTCGCGCCTGCCGATGGCCAGGATTTCCGATGCGATCTCCTCGGACACCGACAGCTTGCCCACTGGAACTGTGAGCCCTTTGCGAGACAGGTGCCCGAGCGACGACGAGGGGCTCAGAAAGGAACGCCAGAAAGCCAGGAGGATATCCAGAAGAGCAGAACGAGATTCAGTAGAGGGAGCGTCGGCGAGCTCAGCTGGCGCACTCGCAGTTCCAGCAAATGCAGATGCTCCTGGTGATCACGAAGGTGCCGATGAGCTCGGCGCTCCTGCAGCTGCCGATGCACCTGCGGTTGCTGAATGTGCTGATGAGCTCGCAGCTCCTGCAGCTGCCGATGCACTTGCCTTTCCTGAAGGTGCCGAGCTCGCAGCTCCTGCAGCTGCCGATGGCCCTGGAGATGCCGATGGTTTCGCTGCTCCTGAAGATGCATCCTTGATAGGAGACGACACGTTCGATGCCATAAACGCGATGACAGATGTTAGCCCGCCATCGGAAGGACTGCCCGCCGTCGACTCGCTGGAGAGAGAGCTAGGCGAAGCTGCCGAACTCGCTGCCGCTGCGAGATTGGTAGATGTCGACGGCACCGTGCTAGAGGACACGAGTGGAGATGCGAAGCTCGCCGCAGAGCTGTGGCAGTGGGAGATGGCGAACGCGGCGAGACAGGAGGGGAGCAACCGCGCGGCCAGCCCCTCTAGGCAGCAGCTCGTGGCCAGCGCCTCTGGGGCTTCCGCGGCGAGCTCCTCGCGGGCGCCATCAGCACGCTCTGCGAGCAAGGAGCTGCGGCCGCAGCCGATCTTGTCTAGGAAGCGCCGCAATCCGTTTAAGCATTTTCGCAGCGAATCGTCCAGCGATTCATCGCCAGTGTATTAGCTCAGGTGCGGCTGCGGCGGTGGAATCGTCGAAAGACTTAATAGTTTTCGCAACCGTCGTCGTCGACGCAATCGTCTTCGTCGTCGCAATGGTCATCGTCTCAGCCATCGCCAACGTCAGCGTCGTCGGCGTCGCAACCGTCGAACATGTCATCCTTGCCCTCCTCGTCCTCGTCTTCGTCTCCTCGTCTTCGCCGTCGTCGCCACCGTCTCCTCGCATTCCTCATCTTCGTCTTCGTCTTCCTTGTCTTCGCCGCCCTCGCCACCGACGTCCTCGTCTCCTCCCATCCGTCGCCAAGCACGTGTCAAACAGAATGCCCCGCCGAAGTCGGAGCGCTGGCGCTCGCAAGTCGGCGCGCTGGCGTCGGAGAGCATCGGCAGCAACTGTTGCCTAACATCTCTATCTCTCTCTCTCTCTCTCTCTCCCTCTTTCTCTCTCTCTCTCTCTCTCTCTCTCTCTCTCTCTCTCTCTCTCTCTCTCTCTCCCAACCCATCTCTGTCACCCTTCCACCCGCCTTCCTCGTTGCCTCAGCCAGCCCATCAAACGCAGGGTTGCGAAGATAGTAGCGCTACGCGCTCGGGTGGGGGCGCGAAACTAGTGAGGGGCTAGTGGAAACACACGTGCAACCACATGTTTCGCTTGTTTTGAGAAGGGTTCGAAGCGCGAAGTCAGACAGACAACGTTGAGACTTAAACGCCAACCCATCTCGACAACCGATCGGCCCCTCAAAGCATTGCCGCTACCGCCCCCTTTCATCTCGAGCCCGTGCCTTTGCCTATAAGGAGGCCAGCATGAAGCGGCATCGCACCCCTTGCTGGCGCAATGGCGCTGGCACCTCTGATGCGATTGCTTCGCGGCTGCAACTTGTGCTGCCGATCATCTGGCGTGAGGGGCTGCACACGTCTAGTGATATGCGCAGGGGCGTGAACCTTGCGTACATGAGTTTCACCTCGGCCGTAAGGGAATGAAACCGCGCGCAATGACGCGGCGCCTCCCTCACCGACTCCGTCCTGCATGCTCCTCTCACTGCGCCATTCCACGCGTTTGGCTGAGAAGGGCACGCTGGCGCGCGAGTGCGGTAGAGGGGGATGCCGCGTCGTTGCGGTGTTTCCGTTCCCCCCAGGATGGGCTGAAGAGCTTGATTGAATTGGACACCCGAGGGGGGTTCTCTGCCCAGAATGATGGTGAGAAGGCTGTGAAAACTGCAGTGGGTGAAAAGCTAGGCAATCTTCAAAAACTCGCTCGGTCCCTGGTCAAAACAATGGAGGTGGCTACTGCTTTGGTGGCATATTCGGTGAGGGTGATGTTGGCACATATCCGTATGATGTTTGATGTGCATTCTAAAGACGTAGCAAAATTCGGAAAAGAAGTTGCGTCTCAAATATCGGCATCTAGACCCCAATGGCTTGTTGACATATTCCACGTGATTGCGCCTGGCGCAGAAGGGTCATTCACTAGAGCAGCACGCCAACGCATTCCGAACCCTTTCCCACATTTCAGAGAGGAGGAATCCCAAGACCCCCAAGATGCTCCAGCGCTTGAGGATGCGCAGTCTATTTCCTCTGACGACGATGCGGTTGTCGATCACCACCAAGAAGGTGGCACTGTGTTCAAGCTTCTTGCTGACGGGAGGAGGCTGCCAGCTACCAAAATCATACCAGGAGGGTCTGGATTCGCGATTGCCATTTGGGACGACGCGTCAAGTTTCGAAACTTTGGAGCCGAACGGCAACATAAACGAGGACGGCACCCTTGCGGGATACAGGCCGTGGGGTTCGCATCACAATGGATTAGGGTCATCCTCGTTTCTCCTTCTCCTTGCTCCAGTCCTCGCCCCTTCTCCAGTCTCCGACCCTCCTCCATTCCTCTTGTCCTCGCTCCCCCTGGCGCCCCCTCGCCCTACCCTTGCCCCGCGCTCTCTGTTTGTGTACCCAGAGGCCCCCGCCGCCAATCCCAGCGAGCAAACGCAAGGCCAAGGGCAAGGCGAAGGCTAGCTCTGATGTAGGTGCAGCGCCGCCAGCTCTGGCGGCACCAGCAGCAGCAGCGCCAGCAGGGATCCCCGCGCTTCCAGCTGTGATCTCAGACTCTGATGAGTCCGACTGTTGTTTAGTAGATGCTGCTGCAGCCACGCCGCCAGTCGGTGGCGATCTAGTTCCCGCTGCGCCAGAGCCGCCAGTCGGTGGCGATATAGCGCCCGCTGCGCCAGCCGTCTTGCCTAAGCCTGCCCCTGCTATGCCTAAGCCAGCCGCTGCCGCACGCGCGATGAAGTTGCTCGATGCGGCTGCTCACAATGGCGGGCGCACCGTAGTGCTGTGCACCAGTTGGACCGACAAGGCGCAAATTTTGAATGTGAGCCCTAAGGAGTCCACGGATCCTAAGAAAGCGTGCCTGGACGTCATTGGGCGCATGGCGGCGCACCTAGATGAGTTACAGGGCAAGAAAGTGAAAGACCTTGGCAAGGCCAAGGTTGACGATATTCGGAAGATTGCCCGAAACGCCAAGTCAGAGTTGCTCAAATAGGTGCGTGTCAGCAGACCCAGTGCGCAAGTTCCCATTGCAGAGAATCATCCCTTCCCTCCTCTCTCATTGTTCCGTCTGTCTTCCCTGCCCCCCAACCCTGCGCCTCTGGAATCGGCGGCGGCTGCTGGGGTCGGCGGCAGGAGTTGGCGTCGACGCCTCCAGTCGGAAAGCGAGGGTCAGTGAGAGGATGAGGACGACGGCAGCGAAAGACTACGACGATGAGGAGGAAGACGAATACGCGACGCGTCGCTCGGCCACCATCTTGCGTGGCCTCGCACTCACAAACAATCGTTTTATCATTCAGTTACGTGGTGTGTTTACGATAGCGCCCGCCAAGGGCAGGCGCTATCGCACGTCGCAAACATGTCGTAAACACATGCAAGGGCGCAACGTCACCTCCTGCTCAACCCCTTCTCCTTCTTCTCCTCATCCTTCTCCAACCTCTCCCTCTCCTCTTCATCCTTCACCTCCCCCTCCCTCTCCCCCTCCCTCTCCTCCTCCTCCTCCTCCTCCTCCTCCTCCTCCTCCTCCTCCTCCTCCTCCTCCCCCTCCTCCTCCGATGGTGGAACAACGGCGACAATGTCTGACAGCGGCTGCGCGCCTTTCTGCTGCCGCCCCCTCCGCAATTGGTGCGCCGCCCCGCCCCGCGCGTGCTTGCGAGAGAGCGGGGGGGGGAGGGGGCGAGGAGGGGAGGTGCGAAGGGATAGCGAGGACGGGAGGTAGCCTAGGAGCTCTGGGAGGGAAGAGGTAGGAGTGATAGAGAAGAATGATCGTCGAGCGAACTCGCTCAAGTCTGACTCGGGAGGTTTGCCGTCTCAGAGCTGTCTCAGAGCCGTCTCAGGCTTCTCAGATCCGTCTAAGGCGATCTCGAAGCCGTCTTGGGATCGCAGAAAAAAAAATCCAGAAAAATCCAGAAAAATACAGAAAACTGAAAAAAACCAGAATCATCTCAGGATGATTCAAAAAAATCCAGAGTCGATCAGAAAAAAAAAAAAAAAAAAAATGAAAACAAGCTCTGCCGGAAAAAATCCGGAATCCGGACAAAATCCGGAAAAAATCCGGAATCCTGGAGTCAATTGAATTTGGCTGGGATCGTCTTGTAATTATCTTGGGCTATATTGGGGGTTCTTGGTGTTCATGCTGCTCATTCTGGCTCAATGCGGCTCACGCTGGTGAATTCTGGGGATGCGGCTCACGAGCTTCAATCTTTCCAGATTGTATACGCGCACCGCGGTGCCGCCATCGCACCATGGCCAGCCTGGCGGAGAGCTCGCAGGGCATCGGCGGCCTTTCCCCCAGCTGCGAGAGCGGCGAGAGCCCCCCCGAGAAGGCGACCGCCAAGAAGAGCGGACAGACGGCAGCCGAAGCCGCAGCCGCTGAACTGGAGGAGACAGTGATGACGCCAGTGCCGACGGCAGCTGAAGATGGCGAGAATATGGATACAGTGATGACGCCCCGTGCCAAGAAGGCCGCCAAAGGCAGGGGCAAAGGCAAAGGCAATGGCAAGGCCGCCAAAGGCAAGGCCGCCGCCAAGCCCGCAGTCAAGCCCAAGGCCAAGGCCGCGATGAAGAGGCCCGCTGCTGCCGCCTCTGAGGATCAGCCCGACACTAAGATGGCGAAGGTAGTTGGGGCGCCAGCAGATGACGACTCAGACGGGAAGCCTTTGGTTGAGCCGAAGGCGGAGGAGAAGGATGCGGAGAACACGGCGACAGGCCTTGTGAAGATGGAGCAGCTTGAGAGCAAGGCGAGGCCCCGTGCCGAGAAGGAGACGCCTGCTAGCAAGGCGGCGCCCCCTGCCGAGAAGGAGGCACCTGCTAGCAAGGCTGCGCAGCAGGGCCATGGGCTGCCGCAGCTAACGGAGCAAGAGCAGCGAGCGCGTGAGAAGTTCAAGAAAAAGCTGCCCAAGGCCTTCGAGACCACGAAGAAGTTTCTCTCGGACCAGAACATCAGCTTGACTGACCTCAGTCCTACTGAACTGGCCGAACTGGTGGGCGAGAAACAAATTCGTGACTTATACTCAGCGTACGGGTACGTCTTGAAAACTGCAGCGCCGAGCCTGAAGCGTGGCTTCTCGGACCCAGCACTTCGAAAATTCCCAACTTGAGGGATGAGGGCGATGAGGAAGATGAGGAGGAAGAGGAGCTCGGATGAGGAGGAGGAGGAGGGGGAGGAGGAGGAGGAGGAGGAGGAGGGTGAGGGGGGAAGACAATGAGGAGCTACGAGGAGGAGGAGGAGGAGGAGATAGGGCGAGGAGGAGGATGAGGAGGATGAGGAGCTAGGAGGAAGAGGAGGAGGATGGGGAGGATGATGATCAAGGGTGTGAGGAGGGAAGGTATTTTTTTGTGCGATCTCGGCAGGACCTTCCCAACGCCGAGAAGCCGTCGTGGCTCCTCAAGTTCATGCTGGACCCCACGACTGGAGGAGTGTCAGCGACCAGCGTGACAACCGTCGGCAAGGACGAGATCAACGAGGACGTGACCCAGTGGCTGACGAAGCAGCAGCTTGGCGGCCCGTTGTACTTGAACTGCCCGCAGCACGCCTCGTTGCTCTGCGATTCTGGATCATTGGAAGACCGTCCACATGAAATCCCACTGTTGGCCGAGAACGGCGTGAAACAATAAAATGGTCCCAGGCTATCTACCGCGAGATCTCGAAGAGGTCGGAACGGTCGTCGGTGGAAGCCCAGTCGTCGATGAGCGCAGACGACTACACCAAAATCCGCAGGGCCATGTGCGGCGAGAGGATCAACGACACGCCCGCGGTCTCCAACGGCGCTACCGAGCAGGAGACGGACGAACAGAAGAAGGCCCGCGAAAAGGCAGAGAAGCGCGCCGAGAAAGAGAGGAAGGAGAGAGAGGAAAACGAGAAGAACCCTGAGGCGGCGAGGCTCAAAGAGGCTAAGAAGTTCTTGGGGGCCCAGATCACTGCCGCGAAGAGCGCTGCCCGTGGGATCCACGCAGAGCTGTCGGAGGCGCCGTCGTTGGTTTCCAAACTCCAGAAGAAGGGCTACCCCGACGCGATGAGCCAGTTCTTGTCCAGCAACGCTGCCGCCCAGCGCACCGCAGTGGATAATTTCTGCAACGTTCCCTACACCGTCGCAAAGGAGGCCAAGTCCAGCACAGATACGACGCCCGAGTATTACATGAAGCAGGGCGATGACTTGAAGGCGGCGCTGAATACCCTCCAGGCTACGGATGAGGAGGAATGGAAAATGGCCACGGATGAGGATGGAGGACGGTCGGAGGAGTTAACAGGGAGGAGAAGAAGGCTTGGGGGGATGAAGATGAGGAAGAGGAAGAAACGGAGGAAGAGGAGGACGGGCCGCGCAGCCAGAAACCGAAACTCAGGAAACCTAACTTCCAGGACTCACGTTGAAACCGATGTTCGGAGACGCCAGGAATCTCATCCAGGGCCGGCTTTGTCAGGGGACCTTTAATGTGTAAAAACCCGCCGATATAACTCCCCCCACGCCCCGCCTTTGCAGACTGACTGGAACACCTTCAAGAAGAAGAACCTCGACGACATCAAGCGCATGGCAGCTTGAGTCGCTATCCGTCTTTTTTTTCTGCTGTCGCAGCGTGCTTGAGCGCGCGGGCTCACCGCTGGGGTTGGTGGAAGGCGGCAGCAAGTTTACCCAGAGACGCAATGGCCCCATTGTAATTATCATTCTCTTCCTCCTTACTCCTTCTCCGTCTTCTCCTGCTCCTCCTTCTCTCTTCCTCTGCCCTCCTTCTCCTCCTTTTCCTGATCCTCCTTCCCCTTCTTACTAGTGACCTTCTTATTCGCCCAACCTCCGAGGCCCATCTTTCAAGTCACCCTTGGAGGCGCGAGGATCGAATGATAGGCTTCGGTCGGCACAGCCCTGGCGACGGCGCGAAGCGCGGAGTCGGGGAAGCGAACATCAACATTTTGATAGCCACAATCGGTCCTGGGTCAATGCTGTCGCTAGCGCTGTGGCCCGAGCAATCGCTGCACAGCGCCATTCGGCCGACGATGGTACTCGGGGGAGTTCGGCAACGCCTGCTTGGGCATGCCTCATCGTCGGCTGGATCTAGCCAGGCGCGTCAACTGCAAAACTGAATGGCGTTTAAACCATGTGTTTAAGAACGCGGGCACGTGCCCGACACCATTACCTGTCTTTTTTGTCGCTCCCGCAAGGCCAGCACAGGGCCGCCCCTGGGTGGCGCTGCAGATCCCCCTGAAGAGCGCAAGCGGCATCGTGAAGCTGCTACCGAAGAGTTTTTCAAGAAACAGCTGAGAACTGGGAAGTTTCACGCGACGGATTTCATCGAGGGGTCTAGATCGATTATCCAAGATACTGGGGATGCAGCGCCTTCCAGAGTCCAAGAATGGGGTGAAGTGTCGCTCGGGTCTAACACCTACCGAGGTTTGATGCGGAGGCTGGATAAATGCGACCTTCCCCCATTATACGAAGCATACTTGCCAGGATGGGACCAGCACCGATCACAAGAACACATGATACCAGCGTACTTCCTCCTGCCCCACGAAATGCTAGACTTCCTAGTAGATCCGAGCGACATAGATCGGTGGGCGACTTTTGAACCAGGTCTGCAAGGTATGCAGCAAGTGCTGGCAGAGTGGGGGGAATATCTGTCTCCTGCTGTCGATGCCGTCGGCAACAACTTTATCTCGCTCGGGTCATGGGGTGACGCCGCGCCATACGCTCACAGAGATTCAATATATTCATTGACATGGCAGGTGTTATCTGGGAGCATGATGAGACATACGCGGCAATGGTTTTGCTGCTTCCCAAAGAGGCCTCACAGGGCATCAGAATCACCAGAGTTGCGCGATCGCTAGCAGAGCTACTTGTGAAATGCCCTAGAGCCCTCATGGTTTTCGAAAGGTCCTGGTTCCTGGCGTTGGATTCGTTTTTGAAAGGGTCAGGGGCCATCATTGTTCGTTCATCCCGCAAGCTGGCGGTCTCGCAACTCTGGTCGGGGGTCGGCGGAGAAAGCGGATAGTTCGAAAGGTTGCATTCTGCCACCCCCCATCGCTACCCCCGCTTCTACCCTCCCCCAGCCGCGCCAGCGTCGGTGTCGCGAGGTCGGTTGGAGTAGCCTGGTCAGCGGGCGCGGGCTCCACCCTACACCTCGCCACCTGAAGCCTTATCCTCGTCCCCCTTCCTGGCTTTCCTCCACGCCAGTCCCCGTCTTCTCTTCCTCCGCCCCCCCTTCCTTCGCCCCACCCTCGCGGCCCCTCGCCCTCTGACCCTTTCTCGTTCCTCCTTCTTTGGGGTGTCGGGCTAACGCTTTACTTCAATCCCCTGGCAAGCCCCTGGGAACACTTTTTCTCAAGGCCCTGGGGTTCCTGATTCGTTTCGGTGAACCACGGGCGGCCCTGGGACCACAGATTGACAACGTGGGCCACCATTCAGGTATACATGCGCCTGCGGTTGTTTCGGCAGGCACACGTTCGAAGCAGCGTGGGATGTAATGAGGTGGTCAATGGAGGCATTAGCTTGCGGTGAGTATCCAAGTTGCCGACACGACGGCACGCCGTTCGATTGCCGCGGCAATTTGCAGGGCGACCGACAACGGCACCTGTGGGCAGGCAAGAAGCTCGGTTGCCGAGCAGCAATCTTGCAAGTCAAGGGTGATTGGGCATGGCTAAAACAAGCCTTCGGGCTCACGGGATGGGGAGGCGAGGGCGAGAGGAAAGCATGTTGTTGGATGTGCCCAGCGTCGAGCACGCCTGAATTTGATTTTCGACGCGCCGGCGTCGGCGCGCCCTGGAGGGGCCGCGAGTACACCGAGATGCAATTTCGCATGGAGAACGTAATGACTGGCAGGTTTACCAGCGTGCTCTTTAATATTCCTGGGATGAAGTTGAGCTACATTCTAGCAGACCTAATGCACGTGTGTTGTCTTGGGGCGTTGCAGTATTTTTTGGGGAATGTGTTTTGGGAACTTTACATGGCCCTTGGGGGCACGGCCAGTGCAGACACGGTTGGGTGCAAGGGTGCGTTGTCGAATTTGACATTCCAAATGCGATTGAGTTCTCGGCATTTGCAGGTATCACCACCTTTGCAGGTCCTGAAGCATAGTATGATCAGACAGGACAACAAAGGACCGAAAATGAAGACAAAGGCTGCAGAGGGGAGGCACTTGCTAGTGGTGTTGCAGCACATGCTTCAGTCGTTTCACTACCCAGTGAACGATCACGACCGTTTACGTGCTCAGTGCACGGACGCAATAGTGAACCTCTACAATGAGTTGGAACATTGGGACCCTGACACGTCGATCGACAAAATACGTGTTTTGTTCTATTCAGTTTGTGACGTTGTATTGTGAGTTGTTCAGAGAATCGTGTGCGAGAGACAGCGAGACTGTCTTCTGGAAGGTCACGCCTAAATTGCATCTGCTGCTTCACGTATGTGAGATACACGCTATTGAGCGGGGTAACCCGCGCGAGATGTGGAATTACGGGGATGAGTCGGCAATCGGAGAAGCAGCAGACCTCGCAAAATCGTGCCATGCCAGAACGATTTCGACCGAAGCCCTTCGCAAGCATCGCGCCACTGTTGCGTTGGTGGACGCAGATTCCGAGGCACCGCCTCCTAAGAAGTGTCGCGTTGCAGGAGTCGTGTAAGCATATCGCTCATTGCATCGTCATCGCCACGATCATGCATCGCCATCGCCACCCTCCACAGCCAAACAATGCAACAAGACACATCCATAAAAAAATCCAGAAAAAAACAGAATACAGAAAAAATCCTGAAACTCGCATCGTTCCTCACCCTCGAACAAAGAAGAGAACACTATGGCCTGTTGTTGTCGTCGTCCGTCGCTGCTGGAGTCGTGCACCGACGAAGGGAGACAGAAAGAGAGGCAACATGAGATGAGGCCTCTTAGGCCCTCGTTGGACCATTCCTCCAGCTCCCCCTCCTCCTCCCCATCCCACTCCTCCTCTTCCTCCTCCTCCTCCACCTCCTCCTCCTCCTCCTCCTCCCCCTCCTCCCTCCTCCTCCCCCTCCCCCTCCTCCTCCTCCTCCTCCCCCTCCCCCTCCTCCTCCTCCTCCTCCTCCTCCTCCTCCTCCTCCTCATCCTCCTCCTCCCTCCTCACCCTCAGATTTCTTATCGTCAGATGGACCTCCAAGGATCTCCAGATTTGCCCCCGCGAGGTTCGTAGTCCAACGAGGCCCCGCGATGGCCTCAGGAGGGGGAGGAGGAGGGCAAGGAGGAGGAGGAGGAGGAGGAGGAGGAGCAGGAGGAGGAGGGCGAGGAGGAGGAGCAGGAGGAGGAGGGAAAAGGAGGAGGAGGAGGAGGAGCAGGAGGAGGAGGGAAAAGGAGGAGGAGGAGGAGGAGGAGGAGGAGGAGGAGCAGGAGGACGATGAGGAGGAGGAGGACGAGGAGGAGAATGATGAAAAGAAGCAGGATGCGACGCTGACGTTGGTGGCGGCGACTGCACCGCCTCTCTCGCCGCCCCGCGCTTGGTGCGCCGCCGCTCCTTGCCCTGCACTGGCGGTGAGAGGGAGAGCAGTGGAGAGCAGCAAAGGCCAGATTTGGGCTAAGAGCAGCAGGATATGTTACAATATTCAACATAGATGAACAGAATATACATAACAACGATTACAGGTTTTAACTTTTAACTTTAAAAAATAATAACGAAAATCTTAACTTGGGGTTAGTTTTTTGTATGAGCGGATCCTCTGGGCGGTTCGAACCCCTCCCCCCCCCCCAGCTCATCATGAAACGGGGGGGGGGTCACTACCGGTTCGAACTCCCCCCCCCCCCCTCGAAAACCGAGTGGGGGTGCGGACAGAGGTGGGGACGGTGTTGGTGGGACAGTGGTGAGGGGACAGCGGGACAGTGGTGGGGACAGTGGGACAGTGGGACAGTAGAGGGCCGGTAGTGGTGGGGACAGTGGTGGGGACAATGGTGGGAACAGGGGGGACAGTGGACAGTGGTGGGGACGGTGGTGGTGGGGACAGTGGTGTGGGCACAGTGGGAATGAGGTGGAAACAGTGGGACAGTGGAGGGTACAATGGTGGTGGGGACAGTGGTGAAGGCGGTGGCGAGGACGGCGGTGGGACAATGGGACAGAGGTACAGTGGGGACAGTGGTGGGGACAGTGGGGACAGTGGTGGGAACAGTGGGACAGCTCAGTGGGACAGCGGCGGAGTCAGTGGGACAGTGGGGACAGTGGGGATAGTCGGGCAGTGGT